TGTCCCAACAACAAGAATTAAGCATCTCCCTACAGGAAGAGTGGTCGACTCAACTGTCATTGTACCCTCTCTGACTCTGTTGTAATCGTATTGGTTAGCTTTAGCACTTCCTTTAAACACAAATCCTGTCTTTCAGTGTTACTTCCATTTCCGGATTTCAGCTATCCTTGGCACTTGTTTTAAAGTCACAATAGGTAGGGGTAGAAATATTTCACTATCAAATGGGACAGCCCTTCAAGATGCTTATATGGCGTTACTTATTTTCAGTTATTTAACATGAATGGTTAAGACCATACCATCCCATACCAATTTATTTATAGAGCACTTAAAACAGCAACAAGGCCAACCAAAGTGATGTACAATAGAAACAATCAAGCACAGCGGACAAGAAAACATAAAATAAAAATACAAATAGCAGTGGATAATAACTAAATGGCCAACACTGTGGACTACAGACAGGATCAAAACAAATCACAGTGTCAAAGGCAAGGGGATAAAAGTGGGTTTTCAGGCGAGACTTAAAGACTGTGAGTGTGGGAGCCTGCCTGACACGCAGTGGCAACTCATTCCACAGTATTGGACCTGCAACAGAGAAAGCCAGGTCACCTCTGAGTTTGCGACGGGTTTCTGTAACTGAAAGGAGCATCTGGTCTGCTGACCTCAGAGAATGCGTTGAGACATATGTCTGTAGAAGATCAGCGAGATAGGATGGGGCAGAACTGTTCAGTGATTTAAAAACATACACGAGTATTTTGAACTGGATCCGAATGTGAATGGGTAGCCAATGCAGGGATGCCAAAACTGGAATAATGTGCTCTCTATGGCCAGTACCAGTTAAAAATCGGGCTGCAGCATTTTGAACTAATTGTAGACGTGCAATGGAGGACTGATTGATTCCAAACAGAAGCACATTGCAGTAATCGAGCCTGCATGGATCACTGTCTCAAGATTCTTTTTGGACAATATGGGCTTCAGCTTAGACAGCTACCTCAGCTGAAAAAAACAGGATTAAACAATCATGTTTACGTGACTTGTTAATTTTCAGGGAGGGGTCCATTATCACTCCCAAATTAGAGAATTATTTACTTGAATTCCCAAAGGGTGTAAAAATGGGCTTGCTTCATACATCAATGTTTGCTATTTTTCACACATTTTATTAAAAAATATACCAATACAAAAAAAAAACCTTTAAATTGCATTTTACTTTGTATACCAGTAGTTACAAGATATTTTAGCTGACAAAAATGTATGTTAGTGAGTTTGTTTGGTTTTATGCTGGTGCAACACTTTTTGACAATTTGAGTGTACCCAATATTTTTATCAAGTTCATATAAAAACACATTTAATAATAACTTTCATTGACCAGATGAATACAATACCACAATGCTGTAATTCAAAAATAGATTGTTTTTGTCATGAAAGCAACAAAACTCCAAAATGAAGGAAAAGTTTCAAGTCTCATACTTCAATTCTCAAACTCACAAATATAACTGTTTTAAGTTTACATTTTACAAACAGTGAGTAGTAGAGTGCCAAACTTGTAGTGACAACTGGTTCCACAATTAAAGGGATACAACTCCAAAAGCCAAATATTCCTATCACTTTACCTACCTCAAACAAACACAAATAATGGAGACACCCCAACTGTTGGCTTTAATGTGTAAACTCAAGGGGTAGTGCTAGGGTTAGAGTCACTAGGTCACACTTGGTCTCTGTAGATTCAAATGGTATTCTATTTAACGCCAGTCAGAACTCTGAGGTCCACTAATCGGCACTTTTTGGTCACCTACCGATCGAGGCTCAAAATCAGAAGTGACAGAGTGTTTTTAAGATGTTCTACTCTGTGGACCATTCTACTTTTGCAAATAAGAGCTGTGAACAGCTCTTATTTGCAAAAGTAGACTGTTGATCATTTTAAATCCTTTCCTAAAACTCATTAGGATTCACTGGTTTTAAATTCCATTTAGACAAGATGTCTTGACTATTATAGTGCACATTTTTTAAATGGTGTTGTTTTAAGTAATGTTTTGTTGTATTTAAGACCAACTTTGTACATCACTGTTTGTGTATTCTACGTTTTGTACAGAACTTTGGTTTAAAAAAAAAAGTGCTATATAAATAATGTTTGACTTGACAGGACTAAAATTATTTTACCAGATAACGTTGATTATGATATTGTGCAGTAATTAAATGAGTTGTGCCTTGAAAATGTGTTGTTCACTGTATGTGCATACATATTTGTATGAATTCAAAAGCCGTACGGCAAACGTACAAAAAGAAACATATGCACATAAAGTCCTTTTCATTTGTTTCTTTCTTGTCAATCAGTTCAGTAGCTCTATTGATCGATAGACGAGTTGATTGAAGTTATGATGCCAAGCATCAGAGGCAGCCGATGGGATGTGCCATCCGTTTGTCATGTCGTCCTTCTCTAATCCCAGCCAGCAGGCCTTGCCTTTATGTGAAGGCTGTTACGCCTGTGGTCCCCCACAGCTCGAAGGCTTTGTGCTGTGTGCGTGCATTTATGCAAGAGTTTGTGTGCACATGTGTGTTGTTGCCTTGACAAATCTATTCAAACCTCAGCCTCTCTGCCTCTATTGGTGGTGATGGCGGAGTTGTAGGGGAGGGAGGAGGGCATTTTGAAAGACTCCCCTCCTTCCCTTCTCTCCAGCCGCTTTCAGCCCACTGCTCCACAGCCCAGCTGACATCTTCCTCGAGACAGACTGAATGAATTAGAGAAGAAACAATGAGACACTTGATGTAGCAGTCAAGGAGCCCCACTGCTTCTCTGCTGCTCTGTGCAGCTCTGCCCTCAAACTCAGACTCAGAGGAGAGCACATCTAGGGCAAAGCCTAAGATCTAAAAATACACAATATGCTACTGTTTACCATGATGACTTTTCATCTTCCTCCAATGCTAAAGCCCCCAGCTTCCTCCCCTTTTGCCCCCACTCATCTCGCTGCTGGGGACAAGGTACGGAAACCCCCGCAATAAACGAGGGACTATTGTATTTTCAAATGCTAGTAAAATAGCTTTACAGGGCTGATTACATTTAACGTAAAGAATATGTGAATGGAGCAAATTTTTCTAACAAGACAGATTGACTTTGTACAGTAGCTTATTTTTATACTCACGATTGGATAGGAATAGATTATCGATAATCTAAATGTGAATTTCATTCCAGTCATTTGTGTCTTAAATTATCAAATGAATATTTTGTTTGTTTGTTTGTTTTTATAATATCATTCATGAGTCAAAAGTAAAAATGGAACTTTCAGTTTGCCATTCGATAAATGCATTTTTTTACCATTTAGTTGATTTGCTCTTGTCATGAGGTTTATTGTTCTGTTGTAGGGAAAACTTTCATTTCAGCTTCAAATTTCAAAGTGGTTTCACATTACCAGCTACTAATGGCTGATTTGACACAAAATTCAAAGTTTCATTAATTTTTAATCAGTTTCTGAGGCTGCAAAACAAATTGAAGCTTAGACATGTCCACCACCGGTGTCATAAAAAAATAAAACCTTAAAGTTTTTTTGTAAATTTTTTTTGTTAATGTTGTTGTTGTTTCATGAACCAGTTATTTGTACAGCACTTTTGTACTTGAATTTATCTGTCTCTAAGAAGGTTTTGAACCTTCGGATTTGATTTGGAGTAAATTATTATTATTTTTAACTTTTTGTACCCTTTCATTTCTACATTGCATGACAGGGTGTGTCTGTGTCCGAGTGTGTGTGTGTGTGTGTTTGTGTGTGTGTGTGGGGGGGGGGGGTTGCACGCATGTACATTTGTGTTGTAGATTAGCTCTAGAAATTTTAATTCCTGCTTTCAAGCATTAGGGAGTCAGTGTAGGGTTGGCAAGAGTGATAATGTGAAATATAGGCATTTGTGTGTGTTGATGTCTGATAGGTTCATGACTTTGTGAAAGCCCCCATCCGATGAAATGCAGTCACTGACCCACACGCTCAAACTTTCCTGTACACACAACACATTAATGGCTGTCAGGGGGCCAGGGTGAAAGTAAACAAGGGCAGATAAGCAGTGAATCAGAAGGACGCCAGCTGCACGTCCTAATCTCTTTACATTTTTTCTTTCTTCTGTTGAACTTTTATCTTATCTAGGGGAGCGTCTTCTCCAAGCATTCCTTCTCAGCCTCTCTGTCTCTTTCCTCCATTTGTCTTGTTTTTGTTCTAACCTTACAAGCCTCGGCATACCAGTCTATAGCGCACAGTCAGAAGGGCAAACACACTTCGATGTGTTGTCATCTGCTGACCCAGCAAATGAAAGCTCAAAGCAACTAAAACGTAAATCGCCCTATTCTAAGACATTGATACATTTTATCGATGACAACTCAGGTTTGAACCTTATCTGTCTGGAATATCCCACTGTGCCGCAGCACATACAACCACAATGTGCCACACAGGATGGATGAAGACAGCAAAGCAGATAAAGAGGTCTTCTTCCCTTTCTGACAGTGGAGTTGTCAACCACAAGGGGGTTGAGAGGAGTCGGGGTGTTTGCAGGGGGTTATGGGTCAGCAAGCTGGGCAGGCCCCCTTCCCCCTGGAGCACCCACTGATCAGCCATGGTAGAAGGCCTCATCTCTTCACCACAAACAAACGCCGAGCTGTCTTAGCTGCATGTCACAGAGCTTTTAATTGCTTGTTCTTGTCTCCTCTTCCCCCACCGTCCATACTCACTTCTTTTGTGGGTTATTTTTCTCCACCTAACATCCCCACCTGTCCTTTCTTATTCTTGATTTCACCTTGTTCCTTATGTAGTTTTGTTTTGTTGATTTTTCCACATGGCAGTCTCCCCTCCACTTCATAAAATTGTACATTTTCTAATTTTATCCTTATTTTTGTATTTTAAAGAGTGATTTTATTGAATATTAATTTTCTGCACAAGAAGCAGACTCTGAAGGTTTTCATAGAAGCAACATTTAAACCATTAAAGCCTCTTTTTTCAATCGTCAATAATTTTTGTTTCTTCTTCCTACAGTATTGTTGCAACTGGGTGTCCAGTCCTGAGCCCTTGGACACACAGCTTGACTCCATGCTGTTAGACTGCCCCAGAGTTTCTGCAGGTAATAAACGATTGGTGCAGTAATAATATCTTGTGTTCAAATCTGAGCTTTTCAACTTATCTGTTGTCTTATCCATGGTAAGTTATAAAAAACTGAGTCAAGATATGGAAATAAATCTAAAGAGTAAAGACAAATACAATTCAAGAATTGCAAATATTTAATGAAAATTATAATGAAATGATGTCTAAACTTTAGGCACATGTATAAAAATAAGTAATCTGAATTCAATCATAAGTTGAATAAATTGGGTTTTTTACATACCGTATTAATGGTCAGTGATGGAGCCGATAAAGAAATTTGGGATGGGGTTCTTTAATGCAGGTAAGTGAAATTATTTTAATTAATAACAAATTTATATTACGTTTCAAATGTCCCTCTTGTAAATGAGTCCTCGTGGCTCAGTGAGGCTAGCCTGTATAAATAAAGGTTGAATGAATGAAATGAATGTCTTTCACTAATACTTAACAATATTACTTCTTATATGTATGTTTTTGTGTATGTGTGTATTAAATATTTTTGGAACTGGGTAGCTCCAATATTTTTATAGAGCTGTTTGAAAAGAATTGTCAACAAAATAGAGAATCTGAATCAATAACAGATTATTTTAAAACTCAAAAAGACTAAGTTGTTTCCAGATACTTGGGAAACTTGGTGTCAGAGTTCATTTCCATTGCCGTCTTCTTTGTTCTCTTTCATTTTTCATCAAACACTGTCTCCTATATGCATTAATCCTCTCCTGCAGTGTTTGGCTTCTTGTCCTCCTGCCCTCACTGCAGTTTGCTGGCCGTGATGATGTCACGTCCATCATGAGAATGTGTCCTTAATGTAGGATTAGGGAAAAGCTGTAATCCTCAACATGACTGTTGATAAGAGATGATGACTGCAGTGTTGTTTGAAGAGTGACGCACATACAAATATGCACACACTGAGAAACAAAAGGAAAGTTAAGCCTTAAACATACAACATTAAATGCCTACAAAAACTATCCATTCTCTTGGAAGTCAAAGTGTTTTAATGATGTCATAAATCAGTTATGATCAGTATAAATTGGCCTTTTTGACAAATAAAATTTGAAAAAGAATAGAAAAAATGTCTCAGCATCAAAGTGAAATCAAATTTCAACATCAAAATGCCAATTAAAAGATTCATCCGTCCATCCTTCCGTTATCTTCTTGTTCTGAAGTTGGGTTGCATAGGCAGCAGCTTGAGCAGGGAGACCCAATATGTCTTTCCACAACCACCTCTTGGAGCTCTACTGGGAGAATTCCAAGATATTCCCACGTCAGCCTAGAGCAGTGCTTCTCAATTATTTTCTGTTACCCCCTCTCCCCCCCCCCCCCGAAGACGTAAACATTTTCCCCCCCCCCCCCCCCAACTCTCCGCCGCGACTGTAAATAGTATCATTTGTCTATAAAATTGTTATAAGTACACCTCTGTCCTTATTAACATAAAAAATAGATCAACTTACAATGAAGAATAACTTTATTAACATTGATTTTTTTTTTAGTCTGTAACAGAAAAAACTTAAAGTGCATCAATTTGCCTGAAGAAAAAAAAAACTTAAATCTTTATTTAAACTGTAAACATTTTTGACCATTTGATACTGAAAAATAAAGTGAAATATAATAAATAAATATAATAAATTCAAATTGATCAGCAACATTTTAACTCAGGAGTGTGATACAAAACACTTTGACCTATTAAAAAAAAAAAAAAAGCCATTAATGAATAAAACAATTTGTGCTGATGTTTTTTTTTTTTTTTTAATCAAAATGAGTAAGTCAGGATCAATGAGCACACTCATCAATAAAACTAAAACATTTCGAAAGAGGAAAGAGGGGGCAAGTTACCCTCTCGCGTTGAGTTTACTCTTTGTTTCCTGCGAGCTGTGGGTGACAAACGTCCAGAGCGTCTTAAAAACAGCAGCTTAACTGAAGAGGTGAATCTATTTTGTTAGCAAAGAACAGAGTCCTAACATTTATTAAACATTACTTCTGTGAACTGTACTTTGACAAACTCATCGATAAAACTAAAACATTTTTTTCAACGCAAAAGAGGAAAAAGGGGGCAGGTGTCGCTCTCGCTTTGAGTTTACTCTTTGTTGCATGCGTGCTATGGGTGACGTCCAAAGCGCATGGACATAAAAACAACAGCGGAGGTGTCTGAGTTGTTTATTTATCGTCTCAGAGCAGAGGGGAGCGACACAGTTCAAGCATGGCTCTCCAAACAACAAGGCAGTCGTACTTGTTCATTACTTTATTATTAGTAAGCCTGAGAGATACTGGTTCTGCTCCCAGTTGGACAGGTCTTGAAAACCTTCCTAAGGAGGCATCTTTCTAGTGGGCATTCTTACCAGATGCCCAAACTCCTTCAACTGGCTCCTCTCGATGTGGAGGAGCAGTGGTTCTACTCCAAATCTCTCCCAGACAACAATTAAATAACATGTAATGTAAAATAAGTGGTTGCATAAATATTCACTCCCTTTATAGTAACTGTAATAATCCAGCTCAGAGTAAAGATTATTGGAAAGTATAGGTCAGTACATTGATACTAAAGGATTTCCAAGACCCTAAACGTAAAGTTAAATCCAGCATCAAGAAATGGAAGGAATATGGGACATGTGGAAATCTGCAAAGAGCAAGCCATCCTCAAAAACTGAGTGATCATGCAAGAAAAGGAATAGTGAGAGAGGCACTTACAATTTTAATAGGTATTTAAAGCAACTCCTTTTACTCTACATATATATTTAAGCATCCCTTGAAACACCTGTACATATAGCTGCTGAACAGCTGGAACACTTAAATCCTTGTCTCATCTCTTATTTCTGTCATCACTCCTCAGGTCCAGGTTTGTGATTTTTTTTTTTTTTCTTTTTAAAGCTCCTGAGTGACATTATAGTGAATGTATAGGTCATCTTTCACATGCTCCATGTGTCTGTGAACACATCTCTAACATTACTATCTCATCTCACTTACTAAAATGGCTTGTTCCACATGGAGCAGTGTGGGTGGGTGGCCTGAACATCTACCAGTGAATCAGTTTGCTGAAATGTCATCTACCCTTCAATACCAAACTTGTGCTTTATTTCATGTTCAAATGTCATTCCCCCCAGTTTTGTACTTTGACCTATGTCTCTTCTCAGTGACTGTTGTCAATCAAAAGACAGATGTGGTATGGCCAAATCATCGAGGTCACCTTTTAGTAACTTTTGTCATGCCTAACTTTGCCCAAACGCAGAGCAGTTTGACACCGTATCTTTTTGGTATGTATGCACTATTGACTTGGACTGTGTTGACTTCTGCTATTTTAATAGAGCTTAAAAAAAATAAAAAAAAGATTTGGATCTCTAGCCTGCTAACAGAGCTGCCAACTGAGCTTGTCTGTGGTCTTTTGGTGGCAGCTTCTGATGTCAAAGGTTGACTCAGTCATCTTTGTGTCCTTGGCAGCCTGGCAGGTTCACAAGCTGCAGCCATTGTGGTGAGAGTTACAGCAGAGCAACAGAGGTGACAAGGTTGAGGGAAGACTGTCAGGGCATCACAGCCCAGCACTTCACTCAGGACAAATACCACCATGATTGCTGTTGTCTTGGTTACGATGGCTCTGCTCTGTGTGTATGTGTAGGTGTTGGTAATTGGGGGTGAAGATAGAGCCTCTCAGCAACAGAAAATAAACCAGTGAATTTTGCTTTCATGCACAACATGCACACATAGTCACAGACACACATCACGTGAACCACTGCTCTGGTGTGTAGTCAGGCAGAGCTAGGCCTGGGGCAAGTCTGGGGCTGGTGTGGAGAATGGCATATGTTCCGACAGACACACACGAAATGTCTCAAGGCTAGTAAAGTATTGGCTCTGTATCGGCCATGAAGCATCATAGGAAAAGGGGATAAAGGGTAATTCCCACTTTTTCTTTAACGCTGTTTCTGCATCTATCTTTTTTCCCCTCTTCTTTTCAACTTTTGACTTTCTTAATATGTCCACATTTTCCATTTCTCCTACTGTCCGAGTATGTGCACAATTATTAAATACTGATTGTGTTCACCATGATAGTAGGCTTTTGGCAGAAAGGTGTATGGAGATGTGACAACAGAGCTTGACTGCTGTTCTAAATCACTCATGGAGCATGATGGTCAAGAAGGAAGCAATAATGCAAAATGTGGGTGTCTATTTACATCCTAGTTTCTTAAGCAGTGAGAAAACCTGGATGCATTCATGTGTGGCTAGTTATTCTTCCATTTGATTATTCGAAATGCATATTGTCCTGACTTCTCACAGCTGTTAACAAAATGAAATTGTTTCTCTTTAAAAGTCAGTGGTTTAGTGTTTGGCACGGGCCTACAAGGGTCATTAGCAGAACTTTATCGTAAGTGGAACAGGCTAAATATGCACGTCAAGTGAAAGCAATATTTTGGAAGAAAAGTTTTCCTTGCATGGATGAGGAATGTTTGAGTCAGTAAAAGAATAACAGAAATATGTTTTAAAGTTCACTTCTTATCTGTTTTTAACCCATTTTACAATATTACAATTAATTAAAAAAGTGGATAAATAATAAAATCAGAGAAGTAATGTTTGACAAGAAGTCAAATTCTGGATGAACTACAACTTTGTCTCCCTTATGTTGTTTTGAATTATTTTGATTTGTTTGTTTATGTTTCCATTTTGTAGTTTTCAGGGATTGTTTTTTTTTTTTTACTTTGCAGTATTTTCTGGAGCAGTTTTTAAATTTTACTACTTTTAACATTTTTTGATAACATTAAAAATATTTTTGATGTTTCCAAGATTTTACAAACTTTTGCAATTCCATAAAGGTTTTTGGAGATGTTGTTGTTTATTTATTGTCTTATAATAGTGTTTCTGATGCTCTCAGACAGGCTTCAAATGTATGTATTTGTGTTAGTATTTACTGTTTAGTTCAGGTCTTTGGAAAATTGACCTCCATTACAATTTTAAGCACAAATGAGAATAAAAAGTGTTATATTAGTACAGAGAATGATGCCA